TTATGGTGGAGATAACATCATCGGTCTTGGCGATCTTATGAGTCTTTTTAAACCCTCAGATCAGGCAACAGGGCAATCTTCTTTGGCTGGTGGAATTTTTATGGATGTATTATCACCAATTTCAACTTCTACACTAAATAGGAGCATTGAATTTATGTAGGAAAAGTCACATACAAAACACACCGGAAGGCCTCTAAAGAAAAAAAAAATATGGGAGAAAGAAAAGGAAGAATGAGAAAATTCTAACTTCTGTACAAGAGGAGGGACACTAATTTAAGTAGAAAAAGCCACATACAGAAAACTGCGGAATGTCTCGACTGCAAGAAAGTCAGAAGGAGAAGAAAGAAGAATAGTAATTTCCCCCTGGCACAAGGGGGTATTTATAATATTTTTTGGGAGAGGATAAGCTTCCGAAATATTTTAGAATTTTCCAAAAAAATTTAGAATTTTCTAAATTTTTTTAGATTTTTTTAATTTTTCCTAATTTTTTTTTTGAATTTTTTTTGTGATTTTTTACAAGTTTTTTTGAATTAAAAAAATTACAAAAAATGGGCTAGTGGCTCCCCTAACTGCTAGCGGCGGGCCCGAACCAGTGACTGGCCCCCAAGTAGCGCGCAGAATTACAAAGGCCAGGGGCAGGCAAGGTGGGCTCGGGCAGGCCGGAAGGGCTGGCCAGGTGGGCTCGGGTGTGCCAGCAGTACGGGCCAGGTGGGGCTTGGCGGGGCAAGGCGGCCCGGAGGCAGAACACGGCGTGGGTCAGGCTCAACGTGCACGGTGTTCTATCGCCGTAGGGGTAGTGACGTAGGCCGGCCAGCCAGTTCGGCTACCTACGTGAGTCAAAGCCCAATTTTTGGCCTGAACAGGTCAAATTAGACGATTTTGGGGTATCTGGGACAGTTTTTCGATGTTTTAGACCTGATCTTGGCATTTTAAAAGTCATTCGAGACCTTTACACACAAGATCAGGTTATTTTTTAGTTTCAAATCTCATGAAAAATTCTCCAAAATTTGTAATGTGTATTTTCAGACTTTTAGGACTTTGACATCCGAAAATAGGAGGCAACTGATATATTATAAAAAAAATATTTTGATCGAGCACGAATCTCAATGCAAAATAAGGCCGGAAGTTTCAAAAATTAAATCTGGGATCATATGAATTACAATATTAGCAAACTTTAGTCGAACTGAGCGTCTTGGAAATACAAACCCAACGACACCAAATTCAGCTCAATCCGACCCCAAATGTGTCTGAATCGAAGACCCGAAGCACTGTTAGAATGTTCAAACAACAATTTGGATTATCAAACAGTTTCCAAACATGATATGGTTATAGTTGAATCGATTGTCTCGACCATACAAATCTAACGAGCCCAAGATTGTCGAATTTCGATATCATTAAGACCTTCAAATGTCTGATGAACAGTCCACGATCAAGGGATTCAATATCGACCGTCTATCCAAACCACTCCCCATTTTCCCTTGATCATCCTCCTATTTACGGGTCATGTCATCCTCAAAAAATTATAAACCTCTCATTTCTCTTAAGAGGGGACCCAAGTAAGAAGAAGAAGAAGAAGAAGAAGAAGAAGAGAAGATAAGAAGAAATGGGGGAAGAAACTCCTCGACCACCGTCAGAGTTCCGCCCGACTTTCAAGTGACGTTAAGTGATGTCGGAGTTCCGCCTGACTCTCAAGTGACATCAGAGTTCCATTCGGCTTCCAAGTGACGTCGGAGTTCCATTCGACCTCCAAGTAACGTTAGAACTCTGTTCGACAAATAACAGACACTAGTTTTCTGACACCAGCATTGTGATATTCATTTGCAACTAAATTTCAACCTGGGAGTTGATTATTTTAATCTGATCATCATAAATTTTAAAGACGAGTTAGCCTCTTGTAACTCGGCAAACACTAGTGCAATTCTTTCAACTGGGCGTGGCCCGGTGATTTTTTTTTTTAACTAGTAAGAGATCTCTAGCAAACTTCTCTCACATTTTTACCTTGATAGAAGAAGTAAATAGCAGCCCCTTCATTGTTTGGCTGAAATCAACCATAGGAAACGAGATGGATTCAGTTTTCTCACGGTTTTCATTCCCCAAATCGCTGTAGGTAGGAAATTCATTCATATTTTTGGCCCAAACTGCTGTAGGCTTCAAAGATTCACCCAGCTTTCTTCATTTTCTTACTCTGAACATTGTAGACATGAAGGCAAGAGAGTAGGAGAGGTAGAGAGTAATGAGAGCGAGGAAGAGCGCAGTAGCCCTTTTCATTTTTTTCTTTGCACGACCAAAATCGAGAGAGGGGAGGAGGTCGAATGAGGCGTGAGCTCTTTTAGTTTCCCTTTTGGAATACCTGATATGAAACATAAAATGTAATGACAAAATAGCCATTAAAGGCCTTTATTCAATAGCTCAAATTATATCTTCTTTTTAAAGCCTTTGATCCAAGAGCTGAAATCAAATACTGTCCTTATTTGATGTTTTAAATAATAGATTTTATCTATTAACTTTTTTTAAAGATTTTTTATGATTTTTTATGTGATTTTAATTTATTTTGATTATTGAGTTTATTAAGAAAAAGTTCCTTATGTTCTCTCCTCTCGAGAAGTATCAAACAATATTCAATTCAAGTGTGAATAGACTCATTTGATCCATCTCAATGAGCTGCATATAATGGTGCAAATCCGTTTTACAAAGATCTCGATTGAAAAGTTTTACATAGGAGACGAATATGTGCATAAGAGGCTCAAACACTCAGTAAATCGGCATTGACTTGATCACATATATTTTTAAAACACAATAAAGGACAACATGTGATCAAGAGAATTAAATCCTAAGGCTGAAGACAAATCGAGGTAAAATATGCAACTTGATCCTTCATCAGACACAATAGTGCAATGTGCAAAAAAACGAAGTGATCCACAAAATGTGCAAATTGCCATGCGAGTGATCGATACCAAAAAAGAGCTTAACAGAACACACTTTGGGCCATGTTGAGAAATGAGAATGATTTGATTCTACCACTCATCTGTACCATTTGATTGGATCTCGACCTTGTTAATAAATGGCGAATTTCATGATCTTCATAGTATCTTAGGAATTTGCTTCATGTGCACTCACCACCTTGATTGAATCTCAAGGCCTTGATTTTAAGATTATTTTTTCTCTAAATAAGCTTTGAACATCTTGAAAATTATTAAACACCTTGATTTCTCCTTCAAAAAATATATTGAAAATTTGCACAAAAAATCATCAGCAAAACATAGGAAATGTTTATTCTTATTGAAAGATATTAATCTAATGGGACCACACATTAATGTGGCTTTCTAGCTTTGAAGCCAACTTCTTTGAAAATATTTTGTCAGATTATTTCCAAGTAAACATCATTCACATAATTGAATGTGTTGGTTAAAACAAAGTAGGCCTATCATCTTCTCCTTCTTTATTAGTAGTTAAAGGTGGCCTAACTTGACATCTCATGGTTATGAAAGTGCCATGATAAGCCTTCAAAGACTTCGCAATATCACATATAGGCTTTGTTTATAACAACTTTCTTATTGATTTCTAAAATAATTTTAGAACAAAAATATCATGAACTATAAATTTTTGTACTAAAAAATTATTTTAGAAAGCAGTAAGAAAGTTGTCCCAAACGAAGCTTTATTATTTTAGAGAAATATTTTATTCTTTAACATGGGCACCTTGGCAATCAAATCATATATATATTTATTGAGAGAGAGAGAGAGAGAGAGAGAGAGAGAGAGAGAGAGAGCTCTCTATTCTGGCAGAGAGAGAGAGAGAGAGAGAGAGAGAGAGAGAGAGAGCTTTCTATTCTGGCTTGATCAAGTTAAAGGGCATAAGCTTCATTTGGGATATTTTTTTTATTGCTTTATAAAACAGTTTTTAGTACCAAAAAATTTTATTAAAAAAAAATATTTTAAAAATAACGAAAAAATCATCTCAAATGAAGGCTTAGATTAGAATCTTTTAAAGATTCATTCATTTAAAAAAAAATATTCAATTTTCCTTTTTTTATCAGTATAAAATTTTTGATGGGAATTATTTTTTTTTTTCTAATTCTACAGTTCATTAGCATCAAACAGTACTATTAATAAAGTAGAGGACATTAAAGAAATATATTAATGTCACACAACACAATGTATGACATAGTGTATAGTTGCATGCCCATATGAATACATTTTTTTATGGTTACATTTGAAAAGAAGAGATATTATTTCCTTTTCTTATTTAACCATTTCTTTTGTTATAGAGGGCCCATTTTGATGCAAGTCTTTAAGTATACAAATATTTAAAATACAAAATATTAGAATTATGATGATCAAGTTAAAATTTGAGCTTTTATTTTCAATTTATCTTATTTTTATTTTTTATTTTATTTTGATAGGAGTTTTAGTTCAGTAAATGTCCGTGTGTGTGCGCTATGAATTTTTTGCTTTCATGAAATATTGGTTCTTTTTTTTTTTGGTACAAACTCATATACATTACGTACATATTCAAGACTTAAACCCAAGACCTCTTGGTTACATGCCAAAGCTCTCAATCAACAGATCAAATTGACTTGCAAGATTATTTTCTAAGTTTTCATGTTGTCCTATTTCTATTTATGGTTGATAGCTTTTTTTTCTTTTGAATGGAGTTGTTTAGTGCTGTTGTTTGAACATACTATTCTTCTACTTCTAGAGTTGGCTCCTTCATAAAGTGAAATAATTGAAGATATTGTGAAGTGGCTATCTCCTTATGTAAGCACCAGACTCATTTTTGTTTATACTCAAGATTATTTGAGATAATTTTTTTATTGTTTTAAAAAATTACTTTATAGTATAAAAAATTTTATTTTAAGAAACTTTTCATCTAGAAATTTACTTTAAAAACCAGTAAGAATGACGTCCCAAACGAAGCCTAATTTCATGATTTGCTTTTGACTATTTAAACTCTCATGTTCAATCTCTCTCCCCATCAAAAAATCGCGATTTTTTTGATATATATATATATATTACTCAAATTTTTCAAAGTACAATACAAGAAGTTAAATATAGAAGCTTAAGAGTAAAGAATTTTCATAACGATGATCAAACAAAGCCTTCTCAGAATTTTCCTTTAAGAAAAGATGAGAACATAGTTAATGCTCTTTCAGGCTGATAGCTTGGCACTAAGTGTCCTGCTCCCCTTACTGTAGCTAATGTCAATCCCTTATAGCCAATTACATATCCTCCAACCTGCCATCATACAGAATAAACATATAAAAATTTATTTCACAATCTTTATAACATATATGAATATTTTAGATTAAGGAAATCATTGATCTCACCTGATCATTAGTGTACCATGGCTTCCATTGTGATTCAACTGGAAGCTTTAGCATCTTGATCGAATACCTGGTCGACGTCACCGGCACAACTGAATCTTGATCACCACTGTGAAAAAAAATAAAGTTGATGGAGCTGATGGAGGAAAAGTTCTTATTGAGTGTTATGGGTGTAAATGTGCTAAACTTGAGCGAGCTTAAGTGTTGTTCAGATAGACTTGTTAAGTAAATGAGCTAAAAAAAATTGTTTTTAGTTCAGGCGGTCAATTTATTGAGCAGAACATGACCTATTTACAAACATACAGTTTACTTCCATGCGTTTATAAGCAAAATCAAGCTATTATCGAGGCACAAACAGTTACATAAGTTTTTTTTTTGTGTTTAGCTCTTTAATTATAGCTTTGTTTGAGACAGCTTTCTTATTGATTTTTAATGCAGCTTTTTAGTACAAAATTAAAATCTTTGTTCTAAAAAGCTAATTTAAGATGCAGTAAGAAAGCTTATAATAACCAATCAAACTTATAGAGTCGAATATAATTGAAAACAAGCAATAATCAAAATACTGTAAAGGAGTTTAAAACCTGTAAAACCACACTCTCAGGCCATTGTGAATTAGATCTTGAATTGTTGGAAGCAATGTTGCTGGTGCGTCATTCCAGTATCCAATAACATCACTGTGTTAAAAAAATTTAGAACATTTAAATGCGATTGAAAGACTTTATAAACTTATTTTGAACATATAGTAACGGTCAAAAAATTACCTGCAAGCAGTCCAAGGATATGGTAAATGAACAGTTGCATGAAGTGCTTTTTGCACCTCTGCAAGATTCAGATAGTTGTCAACGTAGTCACTAGCACAAGGATCTGGTTGAACTGACTGTCATAACCAGAAGTGAAACTTGTTCATTTAATTTGTATTTTGTTATATCAAATTTGGAAATTTTTATAAGAGTAATGAAGAACTTACAGCTTTTATATTTGAAGATGTGCTGCAAATAGGAGCATAAATATCATACATATCAATATTTCCAATCTCATTTTGAGCTGCAGTAAGAGCCTCATCACAATCTGCATTACTGACTGATGAAGAGAAATTGCAATTTGATTGAATATTGCTATAAGTTTCATCGGCTATCAAGGCATGGCTCCATAAGTAATCGTAGGTGGCTTTGTCATTTGTGTCTCCATCAACATAAGCATTCCCCATCTATGAATTCAACCATGAGTAGCATTAGTAGTGTTCTGATTAGGGCCGTAAGAAATGCTCTTGTTTTGGAATAGCTCATAAGGGTGTAAGTGAGTCAAGCTAATTCATGAGCCAGCACAAGTTCAGCTTGATAAATAGAGCTAACGAGCCAAGCTTAAGCCAAAATCGATTCGAAACGTTAGCTCACGAGCTTGCTCGTCTAAAAAATATTAATATAAATACATACAAAATATATTAGAATTCAGGAGTTCAAATATAAAACTATTAAAATTTTTAAAATGATATCTCACTTTTAATATCAACTGATTTTTTATCATATATCTTCTAATTTATCATTCTTTTTATAAGTTTATTATAATAATTATTCTTAATCATTTTATCTCTTTCATTATAAATTAAGTTAAGCTCAAACTTGATTAATTAATATAGCTCAATTTCAAGTTAGTTGTGAGTCGAGCTCCACTGAACTCATTTACACCTTTAATAGCTCATGTCTGAATCATTAAGAAGCTCGTATTCAATTCATTCTTTATATAAGTGAGCAGATATTGGACAATTATTTCGAAAATGTTTGCTTAATAAGCCCAGCACAAGCAGAGTCTTTTTGATCATGTTCAACTGATTTATATATAAAACTCGAAATTATAAATTATTAATTTTGTACATTTTTTTTTTTGGATTTTGGAATATATGATTGTTTGGTATAATTTACTTACCGCAATGCCTTTTAGTTGAATGATTGTGTTCTTATTGGCAGCATTGTTTTTCAGAATGAGGGCAGCAAGTTCTGGGATGTAATGACCAGCATAGCTCTCACCGGTTATGAAGAAATCTCTGTTCTTGTACTGAGGAAATCTCTCTAACCAATTGATCAAGAAGGTGTAGGTGTCATCAGCCGTGCTCTTGTCACCGGTGTTTTGGTAATCTGAACTTGTGTTTGAGTAGGAGAAGCCAACACCAGCTGGTGATTCCAGAAAGATCACATTTGCCACTTTTATGAAAAACAAAAGCGCAGTTAGAAACAAAACAAAATTTCTGTTATCATCTAAGTATCTTGTAAAATTTAATGAATGATACTACGTATAATTATGCTGTTATCATGCTATTTCTGCAAATGAATCGAAACTAAAACAAAAGGATTTGATTGAACCAACTTTTTATGTAAAGCAGTGCTTATAGATCTGAAATAAGTCAGAATAAGAAAAAATTGAATCTGTAAAATAAATTTTAGGAACTTGTTTATTCTAATTTCTTATCATATACTTTCTACAACTGGTTCAAAACTAAATCAATCAGACTATAGCGTTTGTCTTATTCAACTTTGCTATGTTAAGTAGTGCTACATATATAAGAATGTTATTAGATGATGATGTTGCATCTCAAATGTACGATTTCATGATTCAGTACTAACATGCTTATAGTATGTTATGATGTTAGAATGATCGATGCTGAATTTTTTATGTTGATTTCTTATTAGTTTTGGCGATCATACATGATTGTAACTTACATATTAGTGGATTTGACTACCATGCAAGCAATGATTATTACTAATATATGCTAGTAATCTAACATGACATCATGCATGAAAGTTATATTTTTAAGTTCAGAAGAAAAATGAACAAACCTGATTAAATAACCAACCTATATATCAACATAAATAAATTCATATGTTCGTACTCACCATTATTCCACGCTGCCTCATTTGCATAAAGAGTTTTTCCATCACTATTAACTCTAAATGGTCCTAATTCCCGCATTGCTCCAGCTCCAAGAGAAGAACATCCTGGCCCTGCATTAATCACAATAATAGGATTACTTGTTAAGTTTATTCATGTCTCAACTAAATACTAATCAATACAAGTTTGACTCAATCTAATTAGAGTTTTTACGTATAAAGTCAAAAAATTTGATTCAAAGTTTAGAACTTTACCTCCATTTAGCCACAAGACCAAGGGTTTTGAGCTAGAATCTTGAGGAGCCTCAACAAAATAGTAGAAGAGAGCCCTTCCTTTCGTTGGATCAACAGTAACATATCCAGAATACTGATCAAATTTCACATCTTCTGGCTGCCCTGGCAATTTTTCTATCTTATCAGCTTCCATTTGCCCATCCTGAGAACTAACATAAACTGGAAATTGATGAATATTTCTTATAAGATTCCACCAATTATCTCTCAATATCTTTAAAGACTTAGGACTGCTATTGAATTTCAGTAATTGAGTGGCTTCATGAGAGGACTTGGAACAGCACAAAGAGAAGAAAAAGCAAGAGAAAAGAAGAGAAAACAAAGTTGAGTTTCTCATCTTTGATTAACTTAGATTGCAACATGAAATAATTCACTGTAATTTATGTTATATTTATACTGTAATGATATATAGATGACAGAAGTATTAATAAATTAAGATGTCGTTGTAGCGTGAGATGTTTGCTTATTGTGATTTTCAGGTTTCATACTTGCCGTGATGATTGGAGTGGAAAAAAGATCTGAAGTGTTAAAAAGACCATTTAAAATTAGATAAAATGCATGATTGCAAACTTTTGTCTCATTAGACTCATTTATAAATTAAAAACTTGGATGAGAGGAGAGGGAGAATATTCTACCAGATTCATGCTTTAGATCTCATTATTTTACTGATTTTCCCGTACCTTCCAGGTTGAGTTCCTATTATTTTGCATAGTTAAAATATTAAATAAATTATAATTTTACTCTGTTTAAAATAATTAAGAACTACTTTTTTATTAATATTATATTTTTTAAAATTCTATGTTTTAGCATTATAACTAATTGTATTAAATTAAAAAAAAAAACTCATTAAGCGTATCAGAGAGGGTGGGGAAGATAGTATTATTATCTTTAATAATTTAATTAGTTATTAAACGAACAAAAAAATAAATTTAGAAATAGTCATAGTAGCCCGTTCAATAAAAACTTTTGAAAAGTTTTCAGGAGAGAGAAATAAACATTAAAGAATAAACTAAATGTGGAGATAGAGAAATAAAATAGGAGAGATAAAAAATTTCAAAAACTATTTTTTTTCTTAGTGTTGGAAAGAAGGTACATCAATTTATTTATTTTTTTATAAAATCTTAAAAACAAATATGTTTCTTATTTTTTAATAAAAATTTTGAATAAATTTGTTGTGTGTTTTATTCATTATAGTATATTATTTATTTTAAATTTATCTTTATTCTAAAGAAAATAAATTTTAAAATCAAATATTTACTATTTTTTTAAATAAACATTTAAAAAAATTAAGTAATATTTATTAAAACTTACATCTAGATTATTTTTTATTATTAATTATGAAATTCATTTTCATTTATTAATGAAAAAATGTAATAATATTTATATAAATATTATTTTTTCTTAAAATAGATAAATTTGAAAATATAATAATTATGAATAAAAACACATAAAAATATGTATTTTTAAATTAATTATGAAAATTAAAATTGTGAAATTTTTTAACATAATAACACATAAAAATTTTTCATTCTAAATTATTTATTAAAAAATTTGAGAAAAGATGTTTGCATTTAACATTTTAATAAAAAATAAAAAAAAATTCTGATGTACCTCCTTCTAACATACATGAAAAAAAAAAATGTTTTGATATTTTTATTTATCTCTCCTACTTTATTTCTCTATCTACTTCTTTAATTTATTCTCTCTTGGAGATTCTCTCTTTTAAAATCTTTTTTTTAAGTTTTATGGCGACTTTTCTTAGTTCTGAATTAATTTTTTTTTATAGTTTTAATAACTAATTAAATTATTAACCGAAATTACTTTAAAAAAAATTTCATAGTATTAGAGATAAAAATATAATACCAATTTTGTAAAGGCAATACAGCTATAGACATCTATCCTCCTCATATAATTGATGCAATGAATCAATTGATTTATGGCAATCAATTTAATCATTAAGAAAAAATAGAATTTGTCTTTGACCTGGACGCCGTATACAAACGAAAAAAAATAAAAAAAAATTGTTCAAAGCACGTACCTGTCCGATAGCTGATCGGATCTCCTCCTTCCTCTCCGACCCAACCTGCTGAAGCCGAGTCGCTCTTGCCTCCCTTTGACCTAGCCGACGCCTCCTGCGACATTCCTTTCCTGTCGGAGTGGAGGTTACAACATTTTGATCGGAGGTAACGACGGGAAATTGCTCGCTGTAAAGGTAACATTCTCCCTGTTGCGTGCTTCTTCGACTCCTTCATTGTTGATCGGCTTCGCTATTAGGTCCGGTCACGGGACCTATTTTTAGGTTCGGACATCCTGTATTTTGACTGCGTTTTCGGTGCACTTTAAGTGCGCTTTGAATGTCACAACATAGGTCACACAAACTTTTTGCATCAAATACATTCACGCAACTAATTAAAAGGGCTCATTCATATAGCATGAACTTCCCAATATAAGCAAGACCATCATATGATTAGAATGTGCTTTACCTGTGCTTTGGACTGGTCTTTTTTGAGTCGAAGCGCAATCTATGCAGCAAATTTTTAGTAGATGTCCGAATCTATTTCTAGGTCTGATGACCGGACGTAATAATTTACCCCTTTCTACTGGATCGAAAGTTATGACATTTTGATCAGAAACAAAAGGGAGGTCGCTTGTAGTGAAGGTAACTTTCTCTATTTAGCATGCCTCGTTGCTAAGTCCGGTAACCCATCGAGCTAAGTGAGAAAGGAGGAGGATTTAATTTAATTAATTAGTTAATTATAATTAATTAATTATTTATTTTTTAATTATAATTAATTGGTAATTATAATTAGTTATAATTAATTATTATTATTTATAATTGATTATTTAATTAGTTTTAATTATAATTAATTATTTTTAATTATTTTAAATTATAATTATTTATAAATAATCATTATTATTTATAAATAATTATAACTAAATATCTTTATTTAAAATTAATTATAATTAATAGATTAATTATAATTAATTATTTAAACATTTTATTTATAATGAATTATATTTCATTTTTGTTAATTATGATTAATTATAATTAATAGTTAAAAAAGAAAAAAAAAGTGAAAAAAAGAAAAAGAAATTAAAAGAAAAAAAGTAAAAAAAAAAAAACAGAAGAAAGGAAAAAAAGAAAAAGGAAAAAAAGAGATAAAAAAAGAAAAAAAGAAAAGAAAAGAAGAAGAAGAAGAAAAAGAAGAAATAGATGCTTTTTCTTGCCTCGATTAATTAGCCGACACCAACACTGATGACACTTACTCAGTTATAAAGATACAAACTCTGTCCTCAGCACTTGCAGCGTAGAGAGCAACCACCCATTTGCGCTTATCTTAGCACAATGGGAGGAAACTCTTTGCAGTGCTTGGGATGAGGCAGGTAATCCTGGTGCATGCTTTACTTAGCATAGCAGGGCATAATTTTAAATACACGTATGCGCATCAATGCCTATAGGGAAATCACCATGCATTTTTAAATAAGTACCTCTGAAGACCCATGCGTGCCTTTCTTGGCATGGTGGGATTGAAGACTACAACCGTAATGTCTTTAAACATTGATTATGCACGTCTTTCTTGATGTGGCAGGCAAGTTATGACTCCTTAAATCTCTCCCAAACAAGGAATATGCTAAGATGCTACCGAAATTCAGACTAAAGTGCATAAAGATTGAATAATAAAAAGACCTAACTTGAGCAGCAACGCAGAGGACCTATACTTGAATAGAAATACACATAACACTAATAGCTATGCTGGAAGCTAAACTTGAACTGAACAAACAGAGGACTTGAACTGAACAACAGGGAACTGAACCCTAAATCACAAAATACACAAGTAAGATCAAAATGCAAATATTAATTTAATGCATTAAAAAAAAATACAAGCAAATAAGTAGGGGACTCATGATTAACAAGACCTTGATGCATGCAAACAAGGATCACTACACGATTCATAGCATCTGAACGATCACAAACGAATATCAATTGTCGACACCTGAATGTATGGTATATAACAGCTGATGCTAATGATTGCAACAAACCACTACAACAGTCCCTACGAGATCAAATGCACTATATTTTCAATCAATATCAACCTACTATAGAATACAAATGTCTCCTACATGTATTACTGCCAATACAAGTAATAATGTCTATAGATTGAAATGAATACACTAACAATTGATGAAAGACGACCCATCATTGCAAACAAGTACACAATCAATAACCACCTGTGAATGATGAAGGTGGATATAATGCAAGTATAATATATGGCTCTCCTACAAGTACATCTAAGAGATTGCAATGAACATTCTTGTAAGCAATAATAGTCAATATGATAATTATGGATAACAACAGTGGGTATATCATGAATATAGTGAATTTGTGTGGACACAAGTACATATGATACTTACAAACAACTGATAGAGATATGTGTCCGAAACTAACTACATGCAACAGTCGGTGTTAGTATGCAAATGAATATACAAATCTACTTACAATCAAAATATGATAATTAATAATGAACATGTATAATACCTATAGCAACAATAATTGAGATGTTGCAATTGATCTTGGCATTAATCTGAGGAATAAGAAGCTAATGAAGCCACATCAAATAGAGAGCTTTAGATTCCTTGTCAAAAAAATCTTATGGTAAAAAGACTAGGGGATCTTGAGCCTATGGATGAGAGAATTCTAGTAAAGACAATTGGAAGACATATCCTTATTTGATTTTTATTCCTTTAAGGTGGACCATAGATCACAACAGTTGGATATTTGTTTTTCATGTTTGATATTTTTGTAACTTGTATATTTTTTATGATTCAAAATATTATTTCTTTAATTATTATTTCTTCTAACATATTTTAGAAGAATTGTTTTGCTCTTGTGTGTACTAATATTTCAGGAAAATCATAATCCGGATTGTTGAAAACTTCAAATCAAGATCAGTTTAGAATTTATTGTAATTGAAATTTGTATTTTCCATTTTATTGAGTCTGAGAGAGTGTGATTGTAATTGAGTAACTGAACACACACACACACACACACCAGGGGAGAGTTTAAAATTCATATGTTTTTAAACTGATCATACTGTACGATATCACTTCATACGGGACAATCTGATCAATTATTATTCCCCAACGAGTAATGGAACGAACAGAAATGAAATTATTTTTTCTAAGTATGGTTCATACGAGATGATCCCAATTTTGTATAAGGACAAACATCTCAGGTTCATTCTCAAGAATTGATCATACGGGACGATCAAACCTTCGTACATAGATGAATGTCTTGGTTTCGTTCATGGAAATTTTTTTTAAGTCTTGATCGTATGGGACGATCTCAAATTTTGTATAGGGATGAACACCT